ATTTTATCCCTCTTTCTTTTATTTATTACTATTATGAACACTAAAAACTAGCTCAAACTTAATGATAAACTGAAAATGAAGGGATCAATCTCATAAATTATTTATAATAGTTTGAAGTAATAGTCCTATTTCATAAATTACTGTAATTAAAACATAAATCATTTAGTGGAAATATTTTCAATCCTAAATCTATGCATTAAAGTTTTGATGAGATCAGAGAAACTGCGGACGTGCAGTTGGAGAATTTAGAAAAAAATATGAATACTTGAAATTATTAACTAAGCCTCGTACCATTTTATTTTACAAAAATTATAAAAAATAAATTTTAAAACCTTAAAAAATTTATTTGGATTGGGGGGGGGAGAGGTTTTCCGTAACAATCTTTTGAAAATTATTTAACCTGAATTCTTGTAAAAAAAATATAGAATTTAACGCAAAAAAATGTCTTGCATGAAAAATGAATTGAGCCCCTGGGATAAAACGGAAAAATTTGTTATTTCTTCATCTCTAAATATGTTCAAAGCAAAACATGAAATAAATCTTTTCCTTTCCCTTTAGCATTAACCATAAATCTGACCGAGCTCAGGGGTGACCAAATATATTAAATTCAGGGGGGGGGGAGGACTGACTTCAGGAGGAAGGGGTGTTCCTGAATGCTAGTAGATAATGTTCATAAATTCATAATTCAAAAGATAACAAGTGTTCAAAATTATATATATTTTGATTATATTTATAAATTTCCACTTCAAGTGGGGAGATGTTCATAAATATTCAGATAAGGAGAAAGGTATGTTCATAAATATTCACTGAAAGGAGGAGGGTGTTCATAAATATTCAGAGAAGGACAAATATTATCTAAAGTTTGTTCATGCTTTCTGAAATGTATGTCCTCCATTGTGTTCAATATATATTATATATATATTATATAAACGTAAACATCTATTCTACACATGTGTAAATAAATCCAGTAACAAGGGAAAAATAATTGAAAAATGTCCAATCCATCAAATTTTCTTGGAATTCCAAGTTTGTCTAAAATTTTACATTCTTCTATGAGCTGATCCGAGTCAAGCTGACCAAAACATGGATCCATATATGTACTCTGAGGAAATCCTTTCTCGTTGAAGCAGGAAAAAGATGTTTAATTTATAAGCATGATAATACGCCTTGACATTTTTTATTTTTACAGGGTTATATTTTCAAAATTACACAATTAGAAATTATTTTTGATGCTTTGGAAAAAAATGTAAAAATTGGACATTTTCATTCTAACTCTGAATCCAAAATTCCGATGATTAAACAACGAATATCTATTGTTTCTTATTTTTAACTTTCAAAAAATACTTCTTTTAGTAGATTGCTTAAATATTAAGTTAACTTTTCTAAAAAAAAATACCGATCTCAGCTTTACTTTATCTATATTGAAACAAAGAGCTAAAATTTGTTAAAAAATGAGGACTATTTTTTACAGTTTTTGGTTGCAGGAAGAGGGTCAGGGGAAAAATTGAGATCAGAAGACAGAGACAAGACTAATAAAAACTATGAGAGGGAATTAAGAGAAATTTTGTAGAATGAAGAATGGAAAAAACATTTTAAATTAGAAGAATTAGCAATCTTTCTCTAGGTTTGTTTGTTTGTTTGTTTGTTTGTTTGTTTGTTTGTTTGCTTATTTAATGGTTTAACATGAATTAAAAGCAAACATTGTAAAATCTGTCTGTCTGTCTGGGTGTCTGTCTGTCTGTCTATCTATGTATAAATCTATCTGTATGGCCTGGATACGCTGGGATGCAACTAAAGGTCAATTTTATAGTTGCCAGGCAGTGTGCCAGGCGTAGGACTAGGCCTGGTAAAGGGTGTTTAAAACAGGCAGGCCGGGGAGGGGAGGGGTGGATTATGCAAGAGGATGAGGGGAGAGGGGTAGGCAACAGAAAAAGAAGAGTTAAAAAATATAGATCAAATATATTCTTAGTCGATTTGTGTTAAGGAAAAAGAAACAGCCCGGTGAAAACCTGTTCTTTTATATTAGTTCAGTCAGTTTTCCATGCACTGGGTTAGCCTCAAAATAACAAAAAATAAATTGGTATTAAACCTAACAAAATTAGGCGGATAACAGTTTTAAGAATATCAAGGGATAAGCAGGTCTTTAAAAGGGGGGGGGGGGTTAAAAAGTGAGATTATTTCTAATTAGGGTTTAAACTAAGCTGGATCTTCAAATTGTGTATTTCCGATAATTATGTCACCGACAAAACATTGTGCTTAGTTTAAATTTTAATTATTTAGAATTTGTAATGCAAACACTTTGAAACCCTTTTGTCTTATGAACTTATTGCAAAATTTTTTCAGACATCACCCCCTCTCCCCCCGGCCCATAGGCTACATAGACAGAACATTCCTTTACGTCGCTAAACATATGCTGGTATGTGTTACAATTAAATGCTAGAGGTTAATTAATAATTTTTAAAGAATAATTAGCCTAGTTGTTGAAACAACTAGCCGAATTAACAATTATTAATGTTGGACTAGAAATGTAAAAAGTATTTCCATTTGTTTATCACTTCAAACCAGAGATATATATTATCAAGAATTAGCCNATTTCATTTTTCCCAGAAAAAAACATTTATTTTTCCCGATTCAACGAATGACATTTTTTTGGCGCTCCGCGCAAACAGATTTTCAAAGGAAAAATATACACGCCTCTGATTCAAAATTTTAAAAAATCGATTTATTTAGAGGCACATTTTGACATTAGCACATAGATCAATTTAATGGTTATGTAACGCAAATAAAAAAAACATTGCTACAGCATGACAACAAAAATAAAAAAACTGGTTTCAAAAATTAAAAATGTATCAACTGAAGAAAATGTTACGTAGGTCATAAGATTAGCTTTAAAAGCAAGATCATGTGTTGACTTTGTTTTTATTTCGAACTAAGAATTATTTAAAGGGACTTTATCCCAAATTTTAAGGGACACTTGAGACTTAATTTAGACTTTAATTTAGACACACTTAGCATTTGATTGAGAAAAAATGACTGAGTTTTCCACGTTTTTCTGTCTAAAAATTGATAATTTTAATTATTTTTAAGAGACTTGCGGATTTATACAATGGAGACAAAAGAGGAAATTTAAAGAATTTATCTCTGTCCACGACAGTAAAACAAGGAACGTATTTAGGTTTACAGTCCTTTTCATATCAATAATCTGCGTTACGTTAAAAAACCGCAAACTGAGATTAGAATAGGTCAATAAACTGAGAACAGGAAGACGAAGGGTGGGGGGGGAGAAAAAGATGTAAACTTGTAATTTAGAAGACCTTAAAAGCATCATGAGCGGTCCAAGCAAAATTTGCAAATTTTTCATTTCATCCTATTTGCAATCACCCCCATTTGTTACCTTTGCACTGCTAAAAGTTAAATGGTTGAATTTGCAGAGTTTTTAGCACAAATCTCATCGAGATGTCAATATGAGTAATTTTTGCAATTAAGTTAAGTACCCAACCAAATTTTTAGTATTTTCCTTTTTGAAAGTTTAAATTACAGAATTTTTATAAGAGAATTTTTATAAGAACATAAACTTCACTTTAAAAAACGAAATTAGTAGGCATTGTTCGAATGTGCCAAAATCAGCTGAATTGCAAAAATATTCCGAAAAGATGACCTGCAAAAAAATTGCAATATGAACATTAAAAATGGTCAGAAAAATGTGGAACGGTACTTATCATAAAAACAAGACAGAGGAATTTCATTTTTATGAATTTTTAGAGGCGTAATTTTTATCCTGTTTATCAAATAACTGAATAATTTAATAAATAAATATAAAATCATAAAAATGTCCTCATTTCTCCCTTTAACATGTTGCTACGGTGTCAGTTAATAAATTCTGCATCATAAATTTAATAACTTTTACAGCTTTAAAACGTTTACAGACCTTGTATCTTGAAGCTTTTAACAAACAAAAAATCAAGCAAAAAATATCATTGTAAATGCTTTAATTAAAAAAGGGAAAAAATGGATTGGAAAAAAATGTTAAATCCTGAGCAAGTTTGTCTAGAACATACAGGGTTACCCAAAAAGAATGAGACTTCCGAGACGACTAAGCGGAACTATTACGGTTTGTTTTTATAGATTGATGGTTCGCTGTGGCAGTAAGCTTAATTCTTTCCTTGCTAAATAAACCATCGGAAAACTATTTTTCGAGGCAGAACATAATTTAACCTTGAAATATTTTAAGTTTATTCAAGTTTATTCATTCTTTGTTGGTAACCCTGTACAAGCCTGTTTGTGTATTTACATGAATATCTACTGAAAACCGTCAAAATGTACTTGAATTAACACAAAATTAATACAAAGGCTTTGTTATATGCGTTGATTAAACCAGTGACACGGTAGTCAGTGTTAAAAAACCATAATTCACCCCCTTTCATAACCTGAAATATGCCGTTTACTAGGAATACTAAAGTCGCAGCACTCGGTCCAGAAATAGTTTTACACCTTATCTATCATTTCGCGTATTATTTAAATATAAAATGATTAAATGCGCAAGGGCCGAGTCTCATCATTTATACACGTTTTTATATCAAGTATTAATAAAACATCTTTATAATATTATAAAAACTATAACTATTATTATAAAGTCATTAGGGCTCATCTATGTCATAGGATAAATAAATAAATAGCCCCCCCCCCACGCTTTCCTGACAAGATATTAAAAAGTCGCTTTCTTTCAAGATATCTTTCCTCGCTTTCTCGTTTCCAGAACTTTTTCTTTATTTCAGACATCTGACTATAAGCTTTCTATTTAAAATATTAATTTAAACTATTTTGTTCAGCACGGATATGTTATTGCTCAATGGATTAACTCATTGGGATTTCATCTTTCCCAATCGAAACAAAGCATCGTCCTGTAACTTAACCCTTCCCCCCGAACCCACCCCTCCCCTGCGTACAGTTAATTTGAAGCTGCGTAATCCGTTGTGACGCAGTATAAACTTGAATCCTACCTGGACCCTCCCTGCATCTTTTTCGACACTTTAGACTGTCTCACAGGCTTTGGACTTGGAAATTCATCCTCAGCATCAGGCAATAGAGTAGCATAACCGTGCTCAGCTTCTGAAAATCCGCAATTTTGGAAAGTGTCAGATTTGATATTAAATGTAAACTGAGAAACGGCCATGTTGGATTCACATGCTCGCTGTCAGTGGGTTTACAAATACAATTTGAAATCAACTTTAACTGATAAAAATGTGTCAGAAACGCAGGGAAACTTTTCCTTTACCTCGATCCCTTCTTTCAAGGAATTCTGCAGCTTGTAGGAGAACATCAAGAGACATTTTAGGTAAAACTTGAGTTGTGTTGGGTTTAACCTCTACCCGTCAGATAGTTTTCCTCAACTGGCAATCTCACTCACTCTGCACTAGACTGAAAGAGGCGGCAGCTTTCCAGCTGCGCAAGCTGTCCAACTGTCAAGAATAGACAGCTGTTGTAGCTGCGGGCAAGCTGTCCTGGCTCGGACTGGATAAATATGATGTTAAAACCGCACTCACACTCCTCACACAAGTTCTGCAGATTTACAAGGGAAAAAATAAAAGCTAAATCAGGGGCGTACGAGGGGGGGGCCTAGCCTCCCGTCCCCCCTTACGATTGCCGCCTCTGAGGGGAACTCATGGGGGGGGGGGNTTTTAATATATTAATTATATCTTCCTTATGGCAATCTACATTCTACATTCATTCATTGCACTCACCCAAACAAAAAGATTAGGAAAACAATTATAATATATTGAGATTCACAACAATACCCTTCAACGCTAATTGTCTGATCAATTGTTTTGCATTAAAAATCCATGTTTCCCATCCCATTTTGTAAACTGAATATTTTTTATTTGTGGTTTCTCTACAAAAGTGACTCGCGTATTTCTTGCTTCGAACGATGGAGAAATGATTACAGGGGCGGATACAGAATTTAAGTGAGGGGGGGGCAAGATTTTTTAGGAACAAAAAAATTAATAATTAGGAACAAAAAATCGCGCTGCAGGCAAAAATTTTTTTGACTTAAAAGAAGCTCAAATAAAGTCAAAATTAATGACTAAACCCTAAAAAACTAGATTTTTAACTTTTCACACATTATAGTTTATTAAGACAGATATTATTCCTGTTTTGCACGTGGTTTCTTTCCCTTAAGCATGCTATTGAGAAGCTATTCTGAAAATAGGAACAAAAAATTCCAAATTCAGGGACGCCCCTGGAAATGAAGGTTTCAAATGTACATCGGACATGCCACTCTATAAATGGAGGGTCACTTGAAATTACGCATGTATTCCATTTAGGTATAATTGCATCGTAAAGGAAAAAATACTTTAAAATCTCACTTTTTCCCTTAACTAAAAAAGTTTCATTAAAAAAAGTGTAAATATATCACTGTGATTTAAAGGTCTCACGCTTTCAAACAAAAATTGATGAGAATTTTGCCAATTACTCTTTGAATACCAAAGCTAACAACAAGTGCTTTTTATTGATAAAATGTGCATGTAAAGGGCTACAGAAAAACATTTGTGAGTTAGAGCGGTAAAATCTAAACCAAAGGCGTTGCGACACTTCAAAGTCGACCTTATCTTATAAACTGATATTTTTTTAGAAACGTTTCCATCTATATTTTTCATCCCTTGAAGCTTGCATCACAGTATTAAGAGGGATTGCCTGATTTTGTGCCCCCCCCCAGGCAAAATTGTGTCCCCCCCACCTTAAGAAAATTACATAAATTTAAGTTTACATAGTTTAAAAAAGTATCAATATTTTGCTCTCTTTTGGTATAAATGCTCTCGTACGCCCTTGAGCTAAATGGATATTTTTACAATATTCCACATTCCTCCTGACCACACACATTTTAGTTATTTTCTCATATTTTACTCCTAGATACTTCCATGCAACTTTATGGTTGTATTTTCTAGAATATTTAACTAAAAATAAACATTTTTGGAAAGGAGCATAGCAAATGGTTTAGATTTGCTCGAGGTATTATGAAATAAAAATTTCCATGGACTGTTTTATGCATTTTTATTTTATTTTCTTCTTTAAAAAAAAACAAAATAGTCAAAGCCAATTCAACATGACGTGGCTCAAACTAGCTCAAATGAGCTAATAAATAGTTTGAAAGAGACAAAAAATAATTCAATGAGCAAAAAAATAGTTGAAATGAGCCAATTAAATAATTCGAATGAGTGAGCCAAAAGTTAATACTAAGGAGCCCAAAAAATGCAACTGAGCAAAAAAATAGTGCAAAAGAGCAAAAAATATAGTTCAAATGAGCAAAAAAAGTTCAAATGAGCAAAAAAAATAGTTCAAATGAGCAAAACATTGTTCTAATGAGCAAAAATATAGTTCAAATGAGCCAAGAAATAGTTCATATGAGCCCCCTAGCCTGTCCTAGCCGTAGCGCTTGGACGAGAAAGTGTCTTAACCAAACCTTAACCCATAATATACACTAATTTTGTTGAAAATTGTTGAAATTGTAGACCTTTCCTGGCCGCAGCTATTGTTTCCAGCGCGAAAAAAAATTATGCGAAAATTTCGCGAAAAAATAATGCGAAACTTAAAAAAAATTATATAGAATCTTAAAAAGATAGCTAGTGAAATCAAATTCTCTTCATCAAACATTTATTATAAAGGAAGATAAAATATTTACGTACATGACATCATAAAACTCTTTAAATATTAAGCTAGAGAGCAGAGAATTCCACAAGTTCTTTTGAGCGATTAATTGTTGCAGCTATAAAACTCATGGTTTTCACAAAATTTTCGCATTTGCAATTCGAGTTTCCGTGAAGAACAAATTTTCGCAAATTTTCACTTCATTTATTTTCGCAAAAAAGGTCAAATTTATGCAACATTACAAGTGCGACTTTGTGACCTCACAGGTTCTCAAGTTTTAAGCTCGGGCGTTGAACGATACATACAAGACATCTGATGTTCCTATCTCGAGAAATTGATAGAAAACTGTGTCAAAATTATACGAAAATCTATAATTAATTTATTAATTATTAGTAAATTTATAATCCCTCTATATCAATATTCAGTGGTTCTTTCTGTAAATTTTCATCTTTAAAGTTTATAATCCTTTTATATCAATATTCAGTGGTTCTTTCTGTAAATTTTCATCTATAAAGTTCATAATCTTTTTATATAGATATTTAATGGTTCTTTTTGTAAATTTTCATCTATAAAGTTTATAATCCTTTTACATCAATATTTAATGGTTCTTTCTGTAAATTTTCATCTATAAAGTTTATAATCTTTTTATATAGATATTTAGTGGTTCTTTTTGTAAATTTTCATCTATAAAGTTTATAATCTTTTTATATCAATATTTAGTGGTTCTTTTTGTNTGAAGAGAAGAAACAATAAAAAATGTTTGAAATATGAATGTTTTCAGTTAAATTCATGCCCTAGAAGCTTAATATTTTTGACAGAACTTTTAGCTAATAAATTGAAAACCTACAAATTTGAAAATTGTCAAATGTTTGACGTCAACATCCTCGAATTATCTAATATCCTCATAATGATTGCATTATAAAAATAAATTTTTTAATGTTCAAATTGATGCATATTTTTGAGTCTTTTCGTATATTTTTTTTACACAACTTTCCAGTTGCGGGGTTAATACACCTTACCGGAAGGCCCTGGAAACAGCAAAAATAAAAATCGCAATTTCTCCAACCTGTCATCACCGAAAATTGCATAAATAGAGGGCCTAGAGAGCTTAGATTGTCCCAGAAAAGACTGTACATCCTGTGATTGGTCAGCTGTTCATAAACGTCATTATATGGACCAATGGGAATCCTTCTACCAAACATCATTGGTTTGACAGCTCTCAAAAACAGCTGATTGCTTGAAGCGGGAAACTGTTATTGAGTAGTTGGTTTGATGGGAGATCCGAGTTAAATTTAAAACCGCGGGCAAATGTGGACTTCAAACAGAGGCTGACGGGTTTAGTTATGGAGAAAAAGACATATAATAACTAAAACACACAATTGATATGATAAGATGTTGTTATGCAGCAATTGTTGCCAATGGCGCAACTAGCACTTTTTTGAGGGGGGGGGGGCAAAATTGAATTTTGAGTGGCTGGGTGGGGGGTAATAGGGGGGGCTAACCCCCCTGTCGAAAAAATTGAAAAAAAACTCTGTAATTTTAGGATTTGAAGTAAAAAAAACAGCATTTTTAAAATGTTGAAGGGTTGGCTCTGTGCTCAATATTATACCAAATACTAATAATATCCATGGCTTGTGTTTAAAAAATACACTTCCAACAGCTTTAAAATGAACGACATTAGTAAATTAAACATGTGCACGTTGCGGCAAAAAACTTATGTTCTTTTAGTGCCTGTTAGTCTCTGGCATAGTCATATTCACCATGCATATAAAGTCCCCTATAACATCCGACAGCAAGTTTTTGTAATTTATCCACTATAGTCATATTTGTGCACTATATAGTCCCATAATCGTAGGTCTGTGCAGTCCTAGTAGTTCCTCACAGTACTTGAATATATTTCGTCTGTCCATAGTTTATTATAGTCTTTCTGATCTAAGTCTGCCTCTGTACTTGTTTGCCAGTAAGGGAATTACCCTGTTTTCCTCTTAGTCTGCAAAAGTCCTAATAGTCTGATATAATCCTTTTTATATTTCTTGCTATTTTTCTAAGGTTGTCATGGGTTTTGTACGTCACCTTAAATGGTATATGTATTGTAATACTCATATATACATGCGTTTTAGAGAGAATAAATTAAGAATGACTGACTTTCTCTAAGTCTAAAACGAGAAAAAGTTGGACATTCTATTAGAAATGATGCGCGAAGCGCCAAAGAAAAATTTTGGTATTTTTTTCTTTATTGACAAAATTTTTATAAAAGATGGTCCACAATCATGATCATGCTGGAGTCAAGTGAGGGGGGGGGGGCGAGAGGGGGGCAAAATTTGCTGAGAGAGGGGCGAAACTCTGTTCGCCCCCCCCCCCTAGTTGCGCCACTGATTGGTGCACAATGCACAATGTCTAGACATATAACGGGATAAAAAATTCCATGCATTTTTATTAGATGTCTTAGATTTATTTATGTATACGTCTGAACCTTTGTGTTGTGTAAAAGGGATCCTACAATTTTATTCCATTGTTGCAGATTCATATAACTATAGACAAATATACATATATAAACACAACACCTTATCTTATTGAAAATTATGTATATTAATTTTTCTTTTTCACAATTTGGGAAAATTTCCATATTAAAAAAGATCACTGTACTGGAAATTTACACACACCTATAAATGACATTTGTGTGATACGTCAAACTAAAGTAAAATGCACGTAAATTCCACGTAAACTCCACGTGATTGAAGGGCTATTTAGAAGAATTGATATCTATA